TCTATGAAGCCAGCATTAGCCTAATACCAAACCAAGACAGATATTGCAAGCAAAAACTATAAACCAACAACTCTCATAAACAAAGATGCAAAAAAATTCAACAAAACATTAGTTGATCAAATCCAACAATGAATAAAAAGTATTACACACTACAGCCAAATGAGATTTATTCTTGGTATGCAAAGCTGGTTCAACATTGAAAAATCAATCAATGTCATCCATTACATCAAAAGGCTGAAGAAGAAAAATTACCCTATTATATCGATATAGAAAAAGTATTTGATAAAACACCCATTCATGAGAAAAATGGCAAATTGGGCCAGCCAGGCAGCATGGTGGTTAAGGCAGCTGGATCCCACATGGCCAACTCCTGGAATTGGTGGCTTGCAAAACATGCAGGAGACATGTGTGTGCATGCCTGAAATCCCAAGAGAAAAATGTTTGAGAAGAAGGAATTACAGTATGGCCATTCCCACTGAGAAGTGATTTCTCTCTCTCTCTCTCTGTGTGTGTGTGTGTGTGTGCGTATAGATATCTATAAAGATATCTATCTATATAGATAAGAGAGGAGAAATAAACCCTCAATGAGTGCAATCCAGAGTGAGTGCATGCACCCTAAGAAAAACTAACAATAAACAAAACAACAAAAGAACTTCTCAGCAAACTATGAACAAAGGGGAACTTAACCTGATAAGAACATGTACAAAAAACTTACTAACATCACATTTAAATACTGGAGACCTTCCCGCTAAGATCAAGAAGAAGGTAAAGATATCAGCTCTTACTACTCCTTTTCAAAATCATACTGGAAGTCCTAGATAAAGCAATACAACAATGAATAGAAGTATTCAAATTGAAAGGAAAACTGTTTGCAGATGACATGATCACCTATGCAGAAAATCTGAAAGAACTGATGAAAGACTCCTAGAACGAACGAAAGAATATAGCCAAAACTATAAGATACAAATGTAATATACAAAAGTCAAATGCTTTCCTACATACCACTTATATGAGCACCCCTAAAAATGGACTACTTAGGAATAAATCCAATGAAACATCTGCAAGATATCTATGAGGAAACCTCTAAAACTTGGGATGAAAGACATCAAGCAAGATGGAAATAAATGGAGACGTAATCCATGAATTAGAAGAAAAGGTCAATATTGTTAAAAATGTCATTTCTTTCCAACTTGATCTATGTATAGTCCCAATAAAAACTTCAGAAAGTTATTTTGTAAGTACTGACAAACTTGATGGTAAAGATAATACAGAAAGGCAAAAGACAAAACAACACTGTCAGAGAACTGACATTATCCATCTTTTTTTTTCTTTTTCTTTTTCTTTTTTTTTTTTTGAGAGGTTTTTGCTATAGGGCGCATGCACTCGCCAGAAAGACAGAGACAGACAGAGACATCACCCCCCCCCCCAGGAAGATGGCCACACCGCAATCCCTTCTCCATTCTCCTCTTGAGATCCTGGGGACGCACGCATACACGCACACACGCCTGATGTGAATTTAAGCCACCGGGTCTAGGACTCGAACCGCAGTCGACTACATGGGATTCCAGCAACAAAGCCATTACGCTAAATGCTGGTCCCACATTATCCATCTTCAAGACTTACTACATAGCTACAGTGATCAAGACAGTGCAGTAATGACAGAAGAATAGAAAAATTAATGGAACAGAACAGAGAAACCCAAAATAGACCCATACATATGTAGTCAGCTGATCTTTTACAATGAAATAAAGGTAATTCAACAGACAGTACAGTCTCTATCACCAAATGATACTAAAACTGGTTATCTATGTGCAAAAAAGGTGATTCTAGCCTTTTGGCAGAAACCGTCATCTTCCAGTAATTAACCAAAATGACGAAGGAAAGAGGAGAGACACCCCATATATGTTCTCTAGGCTTCTAGAAAACATGGAGTGGTTCCTTTGGCAACATAAATGCAAATCTACAAGAAAGGTGATGTAGACATCAAGGGAATAGGTACTGTTCAAAAAGGAATGCCCCACAAATGTTACCATGGCAAAACTGGAAAAGTCTACAATGTTAGCCAGCATGCTGTTGGCATTGTTGTGAACAAACAAGGGCAAGATTTTTCCCAAGAGAATTAATGTGTGTATTGAGCATATTAAATATTCTAAGAGCAGAGATAGCTTCCTAAAACGTGTGAAGGAAAATGACCAGAAAAAGAAGGAAGCCTAAGAGAAAAGTACTTGGGTTCAACTAAAGCACCAGCCTGCTCCACCCAGAGAAGCACTTTGTGAGAATCAACGGAAAGGAGCCTGAGCTACTGGAACCTATTCCCTATGAATTCATGGCATGATGGGTGTTAAAAATAAACTATTCTATGGTCTATTAAAAAAATAGTGATTCTAAGCAGACTTTACACCTTTTACCAGAGTTAACTCAAAATGGATCATAGACTTAAGTATAAAATGCAAAACTAAACAAATTGTAGAATAAAAACAACATAGAAATTCTAGGGACCTTGAGTTTAGCAATGACATTTAGATACATCAAAGACACAATCTACAAAAGGAAAAACTGATTATGTTGGACTTCCTTAAATTTCAAAACATTTGCTCTGCAAAAAACAATGTTAAGAGAATGAAAAGACAAGCCAGGAAAAAAAATTTGCAAAAAGACATGTAGTAAAGGACTCGTAGGGCCAGCAGATGGTGTGGAGGTTAAGGCCTCTCACTCACTCTGTTTCTCTCCAGTGAGCACAGGTGCCCTGTAGCTAAATAAATAACTTGTAGCCTGAATATACAAAGAACTCTTAAAATTCAACAATAAGAAAACAAACAACCCAATTAATAAATGGACAAAAGATCTAAAAAGATAATATCACCAAAGATTTACAGATGCCAAATAAGCACATGAAAGATGCTCAACATCATAATCATTAGGGAACTGCAAACTGAAACAACAAAATACCACCGTGCCATCTGTTTGGATACTAAAATCCAAAACACTGACAGCACCAGTGTGGTGAAGGTGTGGAACAGGAATGCTCATTCATTACTGGTGGGAATGCAAAGTGGTGCAGCAACTTTGGAACACGATTTGACAGTATATTGCAAAGCCAAACATAGGCTTATCACACAATCCAGCAATCACAGTATTTACCCAAATGAGATGAAAATTTTTAATTTTTTTTTTGGAGAGGTTTTTGCTATAGGATGTGTGTGCTTACCAGAGAGAGACAGAGAGACAGAAAACAAGAAATTATTCCCCAGGGAGGATGGCCACGTCACAGTCCCTTCTCCTCCATTCTCCTCTCAGGATCTTGGGCAAACATGTGCACATGCCCGGCATGAGTTTAAGCCACCGGGTCTGGGATTCGAACCACGATTGACTACATGGGAGTCCAGTGACATAGCCATTACACCAACTGCTGGTCCCTTAATTTTTAAAATATTGCTAAAGGGCACATGGGTTCACTTGAGAAAGATGGGGGTTGGGGGGAATAGGGCAATTAGCCATGTGTGACTCAGCCACCTTCATCACCACACCACAACTGGACTTTACGTGAGAATTTTTATAGTAAGCTTTATTCATAATTGCCAAAAATTACAAACAGCCAAGTTGTCCTTCAGCAGGTAAATGGATAAACAAACTGATAAATCTATACAATAGATGATTTATCATTAAAAAGAAATGTACTATCAAGTCACAAAATGACAGAAAATCCTTGAATGCATCTTGCTGGAGTACATGAAACCAACATGAGAAGGTTACCTACCTACTGTAGGATTCCCTGTATATAGCATCTGGAAAAGGCAAAGCTATAAACAGTACAGAGATCAGTAATTCCTAAAGGATGTAGGAAGGAAAAGAGGGATGAACAGGGCATTTTTAGAGCAGTGAATCTATGCTGTATACTTCAATGGCAGATACATTTCACCACAAATTTTTCAAAGCATATCCAACTATAAACCACAAATAGAAAATCCTAATATAAAACATGGACTTCATAAAAAGTTATCAATATTGGGCCCAGCAGGTGGTATGGTGGTTAAGGTGCTAGTCTCCCACATGGCCGACTGTAGTTCAAGTCCTGGACCTGGTAGCTTGCTTTCTTACTTTCTTCTTCTCTGTCTCTCTGGTCAAATTAAAATAATAATGAATAAAATTTATGAAATAAAATGTTCAATAAAATAATTCTTTTTTTTTTAAAGAATTATTTATTTATTTCCATTTGTTATTGTTATTTTTTTTTCTTTACTTGACGAGAGAGAGAGAGAGAGAGAGAGAGAGAGAAAGGGAAAAGGAGAAAGCAAGCCAACCGGGCGCCACCAGGTCCGGGACTTGAACCGTGGTTGACCATGTGGGAATCAAGCGCCCTTATCCACCACACCACCTGCTGGCCCCCAATAAAATAATTCTTAAAATAAGAAAAAGGGGCTGGCAGGTGGCATGGTAGTTAAGGGTACTGGATTCTCACATGGCCAACCACAGTTTGAGTCCCGGACCTGGCAGCTTGCTTTCTCACTTTCCTTTCTCTCTGGCTCTCTGTCCCTCTCTGGTCAATTTAAACTAATTAATTTAATTTAATATAGTTCAATAAAATAATTCTTTAAAAAATTTATCAATATTGGGCTCTTCAACTGTAATAAATGTGCCATGCAAAATGTTAGTAGGAAAAGCTGGGGAGAGAAGGTAGAAGAAAAGTATACTTTCTGTTCAATTTTTCTTTTGTGGGTGAGTGGGTTTAGGGCACAATTCATTTTTTAAAAAAATTTTTCTATGAAAACCTAAAGGTGCTCTAAAAATAAAATCTATGGGCAAGTTCTGTAGCCTAGTAGAGCTAGATCTCATACGGCCAGCTTCAGTTCAAATCCCAACCTGAATGACTTGGAAAACCACCCATGTACATTTGTGCACCCTAAATCCCAATGGGATGGAGAAATGGAGGAGAAACAACTGCAGCACAACCAGAGGCCACTGAGGGGTTCTTTCTCCCACTCCCTAGTCATATAACTTACCCGTTGCTTCAAAGGTTAGCTTTACAGAATCCCAAGGTGTTTGTTCTTTGGATATAAGTCTGAAATCAGCAGGATTTCTTGGAGAAACTTCTGGGGCAGGAAGATACCAGTTTTTCCTATTTGGAAAGGCAGCTTCAGTATTTAGGATGCTTCATTAGTTGACAGCTATCTATAGCTCAAGAAAGTGTTCAGAATATATGAGTACATTTTTGGGTATGAAAATAAACCCTGATGGAGTTGATAAACAATTCCTGCTCCTCTGAAGCCCAGGTTATTGTGTAATGAAACCTTCCCAACATTAAGAACAAAGGAGTGGGTCTGGCAGGTGGTATGGTGGGTAAGGTACTGGACTCCCACACGGCTGATAGCAATATAAGTCCTGGACCTAACAGCTTGCTTTCTCTAATCATATTGAAATCATATTGAAGAAGAATAAAATTAAATTAAATTAATGGTTACACACACACACACACATATATATGAAAAAAGAACAAAGAAGTTATGTAGGTGATACTAATTCCACTGTCCATCCTATTTCTTTTTATTTAGACCTTCATTGTCAAACCACAAAGACTTCCCACAAATAAAACAATTTGAGATTAATGCTTAAACTACTATTTATTATAAAAGTCACCCATTCTAATTAGTCATGTTTGCAGAAGAAATATTTTATATTTGAAAAAGTAAAACTTCGGACCAGCAGTTAGTGTAATGGCTATGTCGCTGGACTCCCATGTAGTCGATCGCGGTTTGTGTCCCAGACCCGGTGGCTTAAACTCACACCGGGCACATGTGCGTGTGTGCCCAAGATCCCGAGAGGAGAAGGGATTGCGGCGTGGCCATCCCCCCTGGGGGTGATTTCTCCCTTTCTGTCTCTCTGTCTGGCGAGCGCACGTGCCCTATCACAAAAACCTCTCCAAAAAAAAAAAAGAAAAAGTAAAACTTGAGAGCATTATCCCACTAAAAAAAATAAAAATTTTGAACTGATAGAAAAATAGTATAAATGACACTTTACTTGTGTGTTAAGTATGACAGTTTACTTAACAAAGTACTAATACAGTAATAGGACCTGAGAACAAACTAAGCCCCAATAAGAAAAGTAATGAACCAACCTGATCAGAAAATGTACCGGAAGATACCACGGAAAACCACAAAGGGGTGCATTCTCCTCACAGTGAGCTCGAATGGTATCATTGATCTCGGGAATGTGAGGTGTTATGTGAGACATTCCAGTATAATCGAAACCATTGATCCATATTCCAGAGTCACGCTTAACTACATTTCCTTCCAAGTCATGAAATGTTCTAGTCATATGCTAAAAAGGATAAGACTAATGAGAAAACTACTGTTTCGGTTGGGTCACCCACATTCCTACCCCAGATTACAAAAATGGTAAGTACTGGCCCAGGTGAAGTGGCACACAGATAGCACCACTCTTGGGAGGGTGGAGAACACAAGGGAGGGTGGGTTTGGTTCCCAGGCCAAACGTGTTTGATGCCATGGCCAAACTGACCCGCTGGATGTCATTGTGCATGCTTGTCATCTTAGCTAACCAGGAGGCTGGTGCTCATTGAGACCCTGTCAAAAACACCTATCTCTGTCTCTCTTCCTCTCATTCTCATAAGGGGGGTAGGGAGATGGGTAAGTATATCAGTTCTAAGAAATGATGTGGATATGGAACCACAGATGGGACATTCAGGGTTTCTAAGGTACTGCTAGTATTCTTTAAACTAGATGATGGGTGTATACATGACTGTTTTATTGTGCCTTACAGATATATTTATATAATTAAATTTAATATAAAACGCTTTTGAAAATCTATTTCAGATTTAAAAGACATGAATATTAGAATTCCTCTTAGACAGGGATTTTTAACTAAAAAAAAAAATTCTAAGCCCATTTATACATACAAATATACACATTCACCTTTCAGTAGTTTGAAATTAACTCACGAGCACAGAAAAACAGGACTCATAGCTCACCACTAGATGACAGACTTGTGCCCAACAGAAGTCTATGAAAAGGCAGGATGCTCCACTTGGAATAGCTTTATTAACAGCAGAAGCCAGCCCAAAGAATATCAAACAGGTAAAGGAAAAGGACTGTGTAGGGCAGGGTTTAGCAACCTGGCTAACAGGCCAAACTGCCCACTGGCTGTCTTATAAGTGGAGCTTTAGGGGAACACGGCCATATTCATTTCTGGCTGCTTTCTCTCTATCAAGCTGAGCAGCTGTGAGACTGCAGAGCTGACACAGACTGGAATATAATCATCTTGCCCTTTACAGGAAGTTCGCCAACTTCTAGTACAAGGGAAGAGAACCCCAAAACAAATGAGAACAGGATTTTTTTGAAAAAATAGTATTTTTCAAAATACTGACAATACTATAAAATTTATCCTATCACTGAAAATACACTGAAACTCTTAAAACTATTTTTTGCTAAAGGTTTTGCAAATTATAAATTTGTCACATTAATATAATGAGGTGTCCAGAACTATAAACAAAGAATATTTGGTCCCTTTTCAAACTTAAGTTCAAGTATTTTCCATTTTTTGAGTGAGCTTTTGAATAATTATCTAGCTTATCACTGCTCTGACACTTCTGTTTGGCCACTCCACAGCCTCTAGCTGCTTTACAGAACCAGTTTAAAGAAGTTTGGAGACAAACCTGAAATCTAAAGGAAGTGCTAAATTTTATTATATTAATCTAAGTTACTACAGGTAGTCAACTGTGATTCAAGTCCCGGACCCGGTGGCTTGAACTCATGCCAGGAGCATGTGCGTGCGTGCCCAAGATCCTGAGAGAATGGAGGAGAAAAGATTGCAGCGTGGCCATTCCCCTGAGATAGTATTTTTCAAAATACTGACAATACTATAAAATTTATCCTATCACTGAAAATACACTGAAACTCTTAAAACTATTTTTTGCTAAAGGTTTTGCAAATTATAAATTTGTCACATTAATATAATGAGGTGTCCAGAACTATAAACAAAGAATATTTGGTCCCTTTTCAAACTTAAGTTCAAGTATTTTCCATTTTTTGAGTGAGCTTTTGAATAATTATCTAGCTTATCACTGCTCTGACACTTCTGTTTGGCCACTCCACAGCCTCTAGCTGCTTTACAGAACCAGTTTAAAGAAGTTTGGAGACAAACCTGAAATCTAAAGGAAGTGCTAAATTTTATTATATTAATCTAAGTTACTACAGGTAGTCAACTGTGATTCAAGTCCCGGACCCGGTGGCTTGAACTCATGCCAGGAGCATGTGCGTGCGTGCCCAAGATCCTGAGAGAATGGAGGAGAAAAGATTGCAGCGTGGCCATTCCCCTGAGGGATGATTTCTCGCTTCTGTCTCTATCTTTCAGGCGAGCGCAGGCGCCTTACAGCAAAAACCTCCACCGCCCCTCCCCCCCAAAAAATGTTTGCTCTACCTGCAGCCATTTTTACAATCTACTTCAGAAAGCTCATTATTCCATAATACATATTTACTTCGTTTTCCAAGTAGGTACAGTTTTATAATTAGAACAATAATAAAAACAAACATTTCCAGTTCATTCTCTTGGGAGAAGCATGTCTCACTGATAAGAATGCTTCTTGAGGCCCAGTCACAGTGGTGCAGGTAGCAAGGCACTGCTCTGTAATGCTGGAGCCACACAACGACTGGGGCTCAGATACTAGGTCCACCTGAACACGCCAGGCGTGCAACATGTGCCTGTGATTCTGGCTGGCTGTCTCTCTCATGAAAACAAAAAACAAAAAACAAAACACTTAAAGAAATGCCACTAATGGTCAGTCTTTTCCTTCCTGCCTCACACACAAAAAAAACGTTAAGTATAGCTAAATAGGTCAGCAGCAGAATAGTCACTTGTGTTTCCTGTTCACAGTGATGCTCAAAACACACATGCTTTCCCCTCGGGAATCTAAACAGATCATGCAAAATTGCTTACCTGAAGAAACACTCTCTTTGGCTTAGGATTAGCAGGATTGGAGCTGTATGGGAAAAAAGTTCCACTGCAAACAAGGAGGAATGTAACTGTACATACCAAAGTTAAAGCTAACAAGGTTTTTCTTGTACTTTTGGCAAGGTAGATGAAGTTAATCTAAAACATAGAACACAAAAATAGAAATCAAAAAATTACAAATTCATACCAGTGCAGTAATAGATACCATTGGACAATGGAGAAAACATGTCAGCTTGTCACTGAAACATTCTCCAAAACTCAGTAAACTCGCTATTAATTTTAGAGGATTCCCATCACAAGTCAGCCTCTAAAATAACAGATGCTACATTCCGCCATGATAGTGCCTTTTTGACAGGTGGCCAGGGGTTAACAAAGAAAAGGGAAAAACTGCAGTGTGCCTGTACTCAATCACAGAGAACAGAGGACAGAGACCTGCCACCAGCCCAACCATGTCCTTATTTCAGCTGAGTCTATTTCAATGCCCGAGACAGTTAACACTGCACAGCAGACACCATTTATCTGTACCGAACGCTGTGAGATCACAGGATGACCAGAAATCAACGTTTTAAGCTTACACAGATGTATTTCAACAAAATTCAAAGTCCACCCATAATGCTTTTATAATATGTCAGTGTTGGAGTCATCTGCACTGGGATTTAGGTGAAGGCTGCCTGTGGACTTGCACATAAGGAAAACACTGCATTTCAAAGTAATGCTTTCTCTTTAGGCAACAGGTTAACCAATGCCAACATGAGTAAAACGACAAACCTGAATTTGGGCAGTAAAAGTGAATGGTTCAGTTTCAAGGCTGGCATCCAGAAAATCCTAAAAATATTTACCTTGGCTTTTTAATTGTAATTAAGTCACTGAACTAAAAACTATTGAGGACACATGACTCATAGAATATGTCAATGGATACCTTAGGGCATTTGAATAAACCACTTTGAAAAACAATGACCTAAACCCAGCTCCCTCTTTGCCTTCTTTACCTATTGTCCATGCCCTGGTGTCAATAGAGAAAAATATAAACATGAAAATGTTTTGGAGATGAAAATTAAAAATTAAGAAAATATTCATAACCTACCACCTACTCTACTATGTAAAGTTAAAATCTTCATATCTACAACATGTGTGTGTGTGTGTGTGTGTGTGTGAGTACACATATCTCCCATCCAGGGTAATCTCTAACAAAATGGTCTTGGTTCAAAGATCTTACTTTGTAAACTATGAGCACAGAAATAGACAAAGCAACTGTAGACTTAAAGCAGTGAGTCAGCAAGACACAATTTATCAGCACGTCTCCTAACAGTCACACTGTTTAAAATGTGGCTCTTAGAATACATTCAAATATCCTGCCAGGTAATTGAGTTTCCCCTCCACTGGAAGGTTGGGATGTTTAGATAAAGAGTTCTTCTAGGTCAAAAAGCAAACCTCTTTGTCAGAAGGTCCTGTAGCCTAGGAGATAAGGAGGCCAGGTCCCACGTTACCAACCATGGTTCAAATCCGCACCCCAGCAGCTTGAAAAATACACTAGGCATGTGTTGCAGTACATGTATGCCCCAAATCCTGACAAGATAGAGACGTAGAGGAGAAGGGGTTGTGTTGTGACCATGCCCCCATCTGGTGACTTAATAGTAACAGACCAGCAGGTAGCGTGGTGGTTAAGGCACTGGATTCCCAGGTAGCCAACTGCAGTTTGAGTCCCAGACCTGGCGACTTGAATATCATGTCCAGCATGTGTGCGTGTGTGGCCAAAAATCTCAAAAGGAGAAGGGAGAAAGAATTGTGGCATGGTCCTTCCTCACCTGGGAGTGATTTCTCACTTTCCCCTGTCTCTCTCTCTCTCCAGCAAGCACACATGCTCCATGACAAAAAACAAACAAACAAACAAACAAAAAACCCTGTATCATAATTCTGTGGTTCTTGCCATGCTAAAGCCAGTTCTCACCTACAGTTGTCCTAAAGCCTTTCTTTAAGTTATAGATTCCTCTTCTCCAGATCACAAGGTTCATCTCTGCCTCTTCCATTCATCTTCTGGAAGCTAGTCTGGCAATGGTGGTAAATGACAAGGCAATCACAGAGTAAAGGGAAGAAAGAAGAGGAGGGAATGGCCATAAAGTGACAAAGTGTCTGGATTCTCAGTTATTCATCTTTTTTTTTCCTAAGAAGTTTTTGCCTTTGGGCATATGCACTTGCAGGGGAAAGAAAGACAGGGACAGTGAGAGAAACAAAGTGAGAAACCACAACCACCCTCCTGCCCCCAGACAACACCGCAATCCCTTCTGTTCCATTCTCCTCCTGGGATCTTGGGCATGCATGCACATGCTCCTAGCATGAGTTTCAAGCCACTGGGTCCAGGACTCGAACTGCGGTCAGCCATGTGGGAGTCCAGCAACATCACCACTATATCATCGGCTGGCCCCACTAATCACTTTTAAATTCTTTTTTAGGTCTATTGTGTCCTAGTGCACTTTAGGTTCTGAAATGGGTGTAAAATAAAACAATGAGAAGGGCTCTGAGATGTCCAATGTGTGATCATGCTAAGCAGTTGCACTCTGAGCCTCCTTCTTCTGATCCCACACCTATCACAGTCCCGTTATGGCTCTCATTCGGTCACTAGAACCATGATGGCCCAGCAAAGAGTAGCCTCAAGAAACCTTTTAACTGATCGCCAGACAGAAATTTAATTGCTTTCTAGTAAATAGATTTAATAAACCCCCAAGGGCTGAATGAAAAGCTCTCTGAAGTATGTACTGTGGTTCAATGCTCCACCGCCCTAGGAGAACAGCCTCACTGTTAAGAAGCCATCAGCATTAACACTGCCACACATAAATAAGGAGACAGCAAAGCGAAGGAGCACCCAAGGCATCAAAGAGCAGCAGAGCTGTTCCACATTATAACAGAGTTAAATGAGGTTTTTAAAGTATTCTAAGAGGCACTCCTCTCAGCAAAAGCTCTTCTACTAAAATATGATTCAAAAAACAATACATGTTAATTTAATCCTCTTTCTTCTAGTTTCAAAGATTTCCCTGCTTTGGGGATGTTCTCAATTTTGACAGTGAAAGTTTCCAAGGTTTTGTTTGTCCCTCCCATACGATCAATGAAACCGAATTCGAATGTCTCACATTTGGTTCATCTTTTATGGACATCAGTAGCTTCCAATGACTGTGATCTCATAACATGGGGGGAAAGTTTATAACTTAGCTTACTTTAAATAAGAACCTAGCCTACAGATGACAAAACTCCACTCTCTCCTTTCACTTTCCAAGTAGCCTGTCTGTTAACAAGTAGAGAGGATTTAAGGGTTAATGTAAAAACCAAAAGTAAACCCTGCAGGCAACAAAGAATATTTTAAAACTTTCCATCTATTCCTGCAAATAGCAGTAAGGACTTAATCATTATCTTAAAGGTAATGGAATCCTCTGAATTCTCTTAGGGTTGGTACAGCTGACCTCAAAGGTAACATGCACAAGAATTACACCACAGGGCTATGTACGCAAAACCGCATCTATACAGCTCCACTGGGATTTATTCTTCAGCTGGGAATGACACTGACTATGGGGGTTCTCCTTACTACTATTTTGAGAATCTAGCTTCCATGGGAGATTCCCTCTATTGTACCATGATAAGCTCACTATTATCTCATGGAACAAAGCTTTAACTTCTTTTTCTATTTGGTTCTCTAGCCTTAAATCTCAAGGTGGACCTTGAGCATTTAATATATACTACTTATTCTTAAAAATTCCAACTAAAAGAGCCACAAAACAGATCTACCTTCCCTAGAGGCCCAGCCTGATTTCTGGGGGGTGTGGACACCATGCCAAGAGCAGAACCTGGCCCCATGACTGTTCCAACAAAGGGGTGGGGGCGGGGTGTAGTTTTAAACTCTTTATCACTGCCTTTTCTTCACACTTCATTCTCCACAGGGACAGCAAAAGTGGGACTCTTCCACCTAAGGCAGAACACTGATACAGCAAAACACAAGGTCTTGACACTTTTTCATTACCTGGTGAATGAGAGCATGTTCTGGTGTCATAGGTGGGCCTCACCCACACAGATAGAGTCAATTAATGATCGTTGATGTGCTGGCAATGAGGTAGTAGAATGATAATGAAAAAAGCCTTATAAGAATTAGTCTTCCTTCACTAGCTCTAGCAGCACTAATAAAACTACCTTGTACTTTAGCGTCATTTCTAATCAGTAAGTTTAGAGTCAACTATTAGGAATTATTTTAAAAGCTCACCATTAGGCAATCTCTAACAATTCTTACTGGGCATACATTCTAGGCAGTTCTGAAAGGCTATTTGAAAACATATATAATTAGGGTATTTGGAAGGATGAGGAGACAAAAATAAAATAAAAACAGCAACAACAAAAAACCCCATTCTACATTGTCTTACCACACCAAACCCAGGAGATGCACAGCTGTGCACCATTTTTTTTTTCTTAAGACTTTCTCTGTAAAGTATAAGCAACTCTCTTGTAGAGTGTAATATGGCTGAACCCATCATATATTCATATAAAAAAATGAAGAAGAAAAACAAGAAAAAAATGTTTTTTCTTACAAAATAGGAAGAGAGAATCATCACACAACCGGCCAAAATGGATGCCAGGACAACATCAGGTGGGATTTCCGAACCGCTCCTCCCCAGGATGGGGGTGAACATCTCAAATACCGCCCAGATGAGGTACAGTGCATAAAGATAAGGAATAAACATCCCCAAAAGGTAATAGGCCATAAATTTTCCTTGGGCACCTAAGGGAAAAAAGAAGGAAAACACACGTCCATGAAACTCTACAGTGAGCTACAGATTTTTACAGTACTGGTGTACTGTGCCCCTAACAGCAATTAGCTTAGAGATAACCCTTGCCCTGTACATGTTATCTACGAGATATGACATTTCCACTCCTAGTGGATAAAGCACAAGTAAGAATTAACAATACGCAAGTATAGCATGCTTCCACAAATATGAAAATGGGATGGGGGTATAAGGTATTAGAAAAGAAAAAAAAAATCTGTGAGATATAAAAATTTTAACCAACAGTAACAATTTAGAAAGTCTATTCAATAAGATAGAAAACAAATGGTCCCGGACAACCTTATCATATGTACTTTAAAGTATTTTCCCATTTGTATCAAAATCAAAAATACTCTACCATGCTGCTTAAAGTCCTTGTGCACGCAAAATTTTGTGAGCAATGGAAATGCTACCCAGATAGCACTAATAAATGCTGAGCAGAGTCCTTGGTAAGTGAGAGTTACAAGAAAACTACAATGTACAAACAGCGAGATGTCAAAAAATACTTCTCCCAGATACTGGCCACTGGTATTCTGAAAGAAAGAAAAATAAGACAAAAAGTCTCAGTACAGCATACAGATTTATTATTGAAATATAATTTTCAACGCTCGGGAGAGCTACATTTTATTTTAGCAGGGTCTACCTTTTAAACTGACAAATTAAACATTGGCGAAGCTAGTGACGTAATAAATCCAAACTGCTACACAGGGAAAAGCAATTTAATAGAATGAAATAAAAGTGTATTTAGTCTGCTTTTCTTCCCCTGGGCTAAAAGTAAGTGTGAAAATTTTCCAAAAGAACTCCTAAAAATAAATACTCATCTCTGTAAACCTTTCTGTTAACACAACTTTTAGAGACTACTTCAAGTAAACTAGAGAAATGACCTGGGAACGGCGCCACCGATACGGCATGGCCTCTAAAGCAGAGGCCGTCTGGAGTTTACCTGATTTTCCTAAGTCTCTTCTCTTCACTAGTCTTGCACTGCACCTTGTCACCCTTTTTATATTCCTGGTGCTTTCATATTGTAAAATTTGACTTATATTTTTTGAGACTTGAAACCTGAGGGTCCTTGTATAGCACTTTGGCTCTTCAGAAGATAGTTGCAATATAAATGTAGTACATTTTTTTTTTTTTTGGAGAGGTTTTTGCTATAGGGCGCGTGTGCTCGCCAGACAGACAGAGAGAGACAGAGAGACAGAAAGCGAGAAATCACCCCCCAGGGGGGATGGCCATGCCGCAATCCCTTCTCCTCCATTCTCGTCTTGGGATCTTGGGCACGCACGCACACGCACCCGGCGTGAGTTTTAAGCCACCGGGTTCAGGACGCGAACCGCGGTCAACTACTTGGGAGTCCAGCGACATAGCCATTATGCTAGAGTACAATAGACTCAGTTGAATCAAGTTTCTGTCATGCTTCAAAACAAGTTAAAGTTCATTTGACAACCCCCATTTTGGACACTGGAGGATAGGATATGGACCTTAAGTACTCAGATGTCTAATACAGTGTTGATCATAAGGCTTGGTCTTTAAAATAAAGTATTTTTTAGGATTCAATTTGAGGCTGAATGTCACTCTTATATTTAAAAACAAAGATTTCAGCAATGGAAACTGAAATAGATGAGATGTACCCCAACTGAAGCAAAGATAAAAACGTATCTCGCAAATCTATTTTCATCCTCACCTTTATCTCTCCCACCCCTGCCCCATTCAGTCCATTCTGTACATTCTAACTGGAATTTTCTTCCTAGTTTATGGCCATTCCACCCTGAACACACCCTTATCCCATCTGATCTAGGAAGCTGAGCAGGGTTCAACCTGGTTGGCTTAGATGGGAGAGTTTTCTTAATAAATCACTAGTTCTCTCACTTGCTACCCTCAGAAAATTTAAATGGTGACCTCATTAAATTTTAGTTATATTCCAATTTTACCCTCTTTTCCAGTCACTGTGCTGTCAACCTTATCTTCATCACACTGGAATTTTCATCGACTGTGACTCAAATGTATCTGTACAAAATATACCTTCGACTGCTCACCAACCTGTTCTCTACCTGGTAAGTTTCTACTCATACTTTAAAAATCCCATTCAAATGTTACCACCTCCTTCACAAAGCCTTCCTAATTTCCATGAGCAAATTTCATTCCTCCTGGCCCTAAATCCTAATAGCTGTGTGTAAGTCACTCTTTCTCTTCATCCCACAAGGTGCTACAATCATTGCACTTTCAGGATCCTCCCAAATTAAACAGTGAGCTCTTTAAAGAAAGAGGTCACTTTTTTTTGAATCTATATCACTAGGCCTCAGCACAGTACCATGCCCAGTGAATGCTGTAAAATATTTGTGAAGTGAAAATGAAACATGTTACTCTTTCTGTTGTGCTTTCAGCCCCAAGTGTTAGGAGGGGACAAGCAAAATTAGTAAAAATCAATAGAATTTGACTAAACAGTCTATCCTGCCCCTGCCTCAATCAACAGAAGTCAGCCACACTCTGCTTACCATAAGCAGATGGCTAACCTCCAAGAACCTTTCTTCATTCAACAGGGCCTGCTAACATAAAGATTTCCTCAGACCATATCCCAACCTTAAGTGAAAATAAGACCAAGAGTCAGGCCATCCTTGCAGAAGGAGGCTGGATTATAGTCTTCCATGTCTCCATTCTAATCCCTATCAGGATAGACTGAAAAAAAGGCAGATATATACATTGACTAGCGGTCAACTACTTGGGAGTTTCGCTATAGGGCGCGTGCGCTCGCCAGACAGACAGAGAGAGACATAGAGACAGAAAGCGAGAAATCATCCCCCAGGGGGGATGGTCATGCTGCAATCCCTTCTCCTCCATTCTCCTCTTGGGACCTTGGGCACGCATGCACACGCGCCCGGCATGAGTTTTAAGCCACCGGGTCTGGGACACGAACCGCGGTCGACTACGTGGGAGTCCAGCGACATAGCCATTACGCTAACTGCTGATTCCCTACATTGGCTATCTTGAAAACAAACTAAGATAGACTTTTCCCTTTAATTCGCTTAGAAAATCAGAAACCATGACACTCTT